AAATTTGGTAAGAAGTGATTTTTAACAGAAAAATTTTAAAGAATTTTTAAAATTATTTAAAAATAAAAAAATCAAGATTTTTAAAATTTGAAATTTAGGGTTTTTTTTTAAGTAAAAGGTATTTAGGGCCTCTCCTTTCTCTCCCCACTGAGCTCCCCCCATCTCTTCAGTGTTTTAAAGGGGCACAAGCAAATACCACAGCCCGTTTCTACCAAAAGGCAGATATTTGAGGAACAGTGGTATCACACACCCCTTAGGGTGTCCCCTGGTGAAAATCCGCATCCTCTTCACCCCCTAGTGACACCCTGGACAGGGAACAGGCTCCCTCGAGGGTCAAGTAAGGTTATTTTGTTTCCTTTTCTTCTCCATGGACCTGAAGCATTTTCTGTCTTCTTTCCTTCCATCAGGCTTGCCCAGCTTGGCATTTTTAAACTGGGAAAAACCCATGTTACACTGTTTTCTGCTCTGAGTGGGGTTAGTAATTTTATCTCACAGAGACTATTTTTTCTCCAGGTGACTTTTGAGGAAGTGACTGTGTCTTTCAATGAGGAGGAATGGGCCTTGCTGGAGCCAGACCAAAGGGCCCTGCACAGGGAAGTCATGGAGGAGAATTTGGCTATCGTGGCCTCTCTGGGTGAGGATCCCTCTTTCTCCAGGGTTGATGCAATCCCTTTGCTGGTGCTCCTGAATTCCTGTAGCCTCTTCCTGCCCTCATGCTGTATTATGCAAGCTGAGTCAGTTTCTACCAGGTGGGCTGGTTAAGGATGCGCCCCTGAGCATATGCCAACCACTGGCCGGAGGACTGGGTCCCCGATTCTCAGTCCTCACAAATTATTCCTACCCCATCAAATTTTCCTCTCACTTCAGCAGGTAGGGCTCCTTTCTGCAGCCTCTTTGAAGGAGGGCTTTCCTTGTTATCGTTCTCAGTTGTGCACTGGCTAATGCCAGGACCATATGTTGTACTGAGCCAGGCTATTGGGTGGGGACCCCCCCCACACACAAGGGTATCGGGTTTAAATCCATCAGCGTCCACTGTGGCTACATTCAGTTACCAGTAAAAATGGAATTGCTGGGATTGTTTAGAGGCAAGCAAGATGGCGATCTTCTCCTCTCAAGTCCAGATAATTCTCCCATTGAATTATCTGAAGATGCAGAAAGAGGGGAAATGTCCCAGTGGGAGAGGAGATGTCAGTTAAGTGGGGGAACTGATTGTTCACGTCCTGCCTGGGAAAAGAGCTTAAACCTGAGTGATAATATGAAGGCAAGTGCTGGTGAGCAGTAATGGAGAATGAGTGTTCTGCAGCCTTCTCCATTATGTCCTTGGATAAAAGGGCTTAGCTCTCTGAAATAAGTCAGGATCTCATTTGATATAATTATTGCTCAATGTATATATCAGCTTTACAGAATGTGTTTCAAGGCAAAGCTGAGCTATCATTCCCATGGGCACAGTGTTGCAAGCTACTGATTCTCCATTCTCCTACCGCCTTCAAATCCCCTGCTCCAAGCCTAATCTGTTCAGTACATGGCCAGCTCTCTTCTTTTTTCTTTTTTTTTCCTATGTGTTCACACTGACAAGGTCAGGTTATTTCTTTCTTGAATGTGCAACTCCATATGTAGTAGGATGGTCAGTCCCATCATCCCCCCATTTTTGGTTGGGGGGGAGTTGCACTATTGGAATTGCAGTCCAGCAAATATCACAGTTAACCCACTTGACTTATTGCAAATAGTCATAACTGGCACTGTTGAAAAAATGCTCCTACAACTGTTTACATGTGAAACAAAGCATAGGGCTACTGCCCACAAGGCTTACAATGACAACATAACAAGAAAAAACTATGAGAGAATATTCAACAAAGTTAATAAGCTATAAAATTTGTCAAATCTATATAGCAATCAGCTTTTACCAAAACTGTTGAGAGGTGCTGAGTGAAGCTGGTGGTCTCTCAGAAGAGACATTGAAAGCCAACTGCCTTCAAATGCCCGGCTCCAACTGAGGCTTATAATGTCAATAATGGCCAGTTCCATTCTTCTCTTGGCCTGTGAGTAAATTATTTCTCTCTTTGCCAGGTGGTGAAAGACATGCGAGAGAGCATGTAAGAAAACCAAGGATTTCTTTGCTGCAAAGAGGCAAACATCAAATTCATGTAGAAAGAATTCACACACAAAAAAGAAAATGTGGGACACGTTTGCATGAAAAGACAAATCTTTCTTGTCATCAAAGAATTCATATAGGAGTGAAGCTATTTGAATGCTTAGAATGTGGAAAGAAATTTAGTTCCAAGAGCTATCTCACTCGTCATCAAACAATTCATAGAGGAGAAAGGCCATTTAAATGCCTGGAATGTGGAAAGAATTTCAATCAAAAGGAAATTTTCACCTGTCATCAAAAAAGTCATACAAGAGAAAAGCCATTTAAATGCCTGGAATGTGGAAAAAAATTCAGCCAGAAGGGACATCTCACTAATCATCAAAGAATTCATATAGGAGAGAAGCTGTTTAAATGTTTGGAATGTGAAAAGAGTTTC